AGCTGCGTCTGCACCAGCCCGGGATCCCTCAGCTCATCTCTGGGGGGGGGGATGTGGCCGTGATGCCCACACCCCAGTGGAGGGGGGGCTGGACCTCCCCTGGCCCACGGGTGCATCCCCCCCGGGTCAGTTCTCATCAGCTGAGCAGTTGCTGAAAAGCAGCTTTGCAGGTTAGAAGTATTTTTTCTTTTTTTCTCCTTTTTTTTTTGGGGGGGTGTGGGTTTGCACCGAACTGGTGTGACCAGGGGAGGGAGGGGACCCTTCCCCTCGGACGCAGGTTGCAGAGCAGCATGTGGAGAGTCCTCATGTCTGCTCACCCGGGTGAGGAGCTGTGGGCCAAGCTGGCTTCTCCTCCGGCCCTGGACCAGGAGGCTGCAGGAGCAGGTCCAGGTGCCACCTGCCCCAGGGGGCTCTGATGGCTTTGGGGCCCCAGCTGGGGGGGCTGGAGGAGCCATGCTGAGGGCTGTGTCATCCAACCACACCAGGTGGATACCCTGAGGACTGGGGACCCTGCACAGAGGAGTGAGGAGCTGCCAGAGATCCCCGGTAGCGCCGGACACAGAGACTCACGGGGGTGTTAACTGAGAGGACAGCGAGTTACGCAATTAGTAAATACAAACGCTGACTCGGACACGCAGCTCAGGCATCTGGTACAAGTTCTGGCCATACCAAACGTTTCCTCTGAGAGCTCACAGATGGTCGGGGAGTTAGTTCAGAAAACGGCCCCAAACCAGGCTAAGGTTACACACTGGCCCCAGCTACCCCCGCAACACCCTGCGATTGTCCCCGGCAGCTGCAGCTCCAGAGCGGGGCTGTCGGAGCTGCCAGGGGAGGCGGCAGCCCCTGCCAACTGCCTGGGGGTAAAACGGGATCCGGGCAGGAGCTTTTCCCGGCCAAACACCGACCTGGGGATTTAGAGGGCTCCCTGTGGTTCAAACCGTTTGAGGTTAGGCTTCGTCTCCCCTTCTCCTCATCACCCTGCGGGAGCTGCTGCCTCGGCATCGTCACCGGGAGACTCTGCCCACCCCGGGACCGGCCGCAGGGAGGGCTGATGCTCCCTGCAAGCTCGGATACTCCTCGCAGCCCCTCTACCCTTTTTCATGCCCTTCTATGCCTGACCTGGCCTGTTTCATTCCAGGGTTTCCATAACACAACTGCCCCCGGTCCTGACTCCCTTATTTAGCCTCCTGCCTTGAAGATCATCAGGGGTAAAAAGTAAGACCAGAGTTTGATTTCAACCCCACTCAGCTGCAGTGGAGGGTTCCTGCTGGCTCAGGGGGCTCTGGGCTCTTTTGCTGAGCACCTCAGCCCGTTTTTCTGTTAGGTGGAAAATCTACCTGAGGTCTGGTCTGAGGATCTTTTAGCCCCTTTGTTTCTGATGGTCTGGAAGAACCAATTGAGACTATTGTGGTTGCTGCCAATGACTGAGCTACTGCTAAATCCAAAGGACCAGAGGCAGAAACCCTGGGGATGGTACAGTCTGGTGCACAGTTTCCCCTTGGCAACAATTTTGTGTTTGCTTTTCAGATCAACAGCTGGTAGAAACAAGTGGTAAGAACAGATCTTCCCAAAGCATTTACCTCTATGGATAGGTTCTGCAGGTGGTAAATATTCTGTAACCCTTGTGAGGTGAAATAGTCGATGCAGTTTGGACACCCCAAGCCTGTTAAAAAACTGCAGAAAAAATTTGGAAAATAAAGTGGCATTAACTTCTCACAAATATAAACTGTGCTTGCAACCATCCCTGTCGTGGCACTTGGGACTGGGTTCATTCCTAAAACTACTTTCTTTTTTTTTTTTTCCTTTTTTTTCCCCCCTGATTTTCAGAGGTTTCAGCTGAGTAACTTCCTCAGAACAGCCTGAGGGAGCTTGAGCTGCTGGGGTGGAGCTCATGCCTTGCTCAGGGCAGCCCCTGGGGCTGGGCTGCTCTGCACTGGGCTGCAGCTCTGCCCCTCCAGTGCCACCACCTGCCCAGCCTGCCTGCCTTCCCTCGGCTGTCTGTCCAGACATCTGTGGCCTTTTTAAAGACTGACATGTTTAAGAAGTGGCTGCAGACCTGCTAGTGCATTCCTGGTGGAAATAAACCACATGGACCAATCCCCAGGCTTTGCTGGTAAGGAAGGGAATGGGAGAAGTTCAAAAAGCTGAGTGCTGGATTGACATGCAGATGCATTTAATTTGAATTAAGCAAGGCTGGATTACCCAGGCAGGGGTATGAGAGGGCAAAGAAGTTTCTAACAGGCAGGTAGCTGGGGTTTGATTTCTGAGATGAGAAGCATGACCTATGTGATTTTGTGAGCAATGATTTCTCAGCTGGGACCAGTGGCCAGTTGACCAGTTGCTAGACAGATCTGAAGGTTAGAGTGAGGGACAACAGCAGGAAACATGAGAGGACAAGACAGACAGGGCACCGGATGCCTTCCCTACCTGACGAGGCTGGGATCAGGGTTGTAGGGTGGCGGGGGGGTGCAGTGGGATCCCGAGACCATGGACTGGGAGGAGTGGCCCCCGTTCATTTCCCCGTTGGGCTGCATGGGGTGGCTGTTCAGCATGCCAGCTCCTGGCAGCACAGGGCCATGTCAATGCAACAAATAGATCCATTTAGACATCCCTGGTACCCACCCGCAGCCTCTGTGGGGAGCTGGGGGTCTGATGGGCAGGGGGAGCCCCGAGTGCTGCCCACCTGCTGTGCTGCCCTTACCCATGGCCCCCAGGCCGGGGGTGGAGCTGGAGCTGTGCTGTGCTGGCTGCCCCACCAGCTGGTTGACAGAAGGCAGCTTGTTGATTCCTCCACCGTGGACTTTATTCATGGGGGACAGGACAGGGCCGTAGGAGGATGGTGTTTGCAGTTGGCTCCTGCTCGGGGAAAGCCAAGGGTGGGGTCAGCCTGCAGGGGGTGGGATGGAGCCCCCCACCCTGTCCTCGACCCCCCCACACTGCCCCGGCTGGTCAGACTTTCTTGCTGAAATCCCTGGATGGTGGGATCAGCATCAGCAAACTGCTGTGCCCCAGCCTCGGGCTCCGGGGGGTGCCTGGTACTCACTGCCTCTGCAGGAGCTGCTGCTGCTGCTGCCGGTAGGAGTCAACCAGCTGCTGCGGGACCAGCTCCACCAGCTCCAGGCTCTCCTTTATCTTCATCAGGATCTCAAAGTTCTCCCGGCCTCGCACCTGCAGGAGGGAACAAGCCCAGGGCTTCGCTTCATTCCCGTCCCACTTGGCCACCTTCCTCACGGCCCCTTCTTGCTCTCCCAACACACAAGGTCAGTGTCACCGTGGCCAGGGGGGTCCTTAGACACATTCCCAGGTGCTTTTGCTGCTGTTCTTTAGCTCCCTGCTCAGTCCCCGTGCCTGCTGCCCCCCGGGAGACTTTGCAGCCCCGTCCTGCCCATCCCCGCGTCCCCAGGCTGTTCCTGGCAGAGCGGGCGATGCCCCCAGCGCAGCTCCCCAGCACTTACGGGCACATAGTACAGCTCCTCCTCCCCGTGCCTCCGCTTCTTAACCCCGCTGCCCAGCGCTGGGATGCCCTGCGGGCTCTGCTTGAAGGCTGGAAAGGAGAGAGGGAAGTGTTGCTGTCCCTGGGGAGGGAGGGACAGAGCCGGGCAGGGGGCTCGCTGCCCACCCGCCTGCTGCCACTGAGCTTCTCCCTTTATTAGCCATAATAATGAAAACCAAATCCATCTGGACATGAAACCCTGCGCTGACAGCTCTGCGGGGAGAAGGGGATGATGCTATTGATGAGGCTCCAGCTGAGGCAGGGAAGGGCTCGGTGCCCGGTGCGGGGGGAGCCCAGACCCTGGAGCGCCCTGGGCTTGGGTGGGATGGGGAAGGAGCTGAGGCAGAAGCACGGCATGGCTTGGATCAGTGAGGGGGTGCAGGTGCTGGGCAGAGCCCCCAGCCCCCCTGCCCCAGCCAGGGCACTCACTGCGCTTGTTGCCGTTGCTGTTTTTAGCCGCGCTCTCGTTCAGGGCCTGTTGCTCCCGGTAATGATCTTCATCGGCTTTCCGGTCCCTGCCGGGACAGGCACAGATCCGGCCCTCGAACGATCTCCTTCCTAGGACTTGGCCACTGGGGGGAGAGAGAAATTGGTGACCTTGTTTCTGCTTGGGAAGCACGTCGTGCAACGCGTGCTGATCCAGCTCAGAAACCAGACCAGCGAAGGGGCTTTGCCATCTCTCCGGATGAACGGAGGGCTCAGGAAGCAATCCAGCCCCCGAGGCTGCAGGAGCCCTCAGCAGCAGCTTCCTGAGGAAGAGGAGCTGCTGGGGCAGAGGAAGGCTCTGGCTTCAGGGGGAGAAGCCAACGCTGGGCTGGGTCCCCAGTCCCTCTGTCCCAGCCCTTTTCCCAGCCGGCAGAGAAGAGCCTTTCCCCTGCTATGGGCCAGGGCTGGGGGGGCTGCCTTGTCCCCCTCCCCTGGGGATGCTCCCTGTGGTGAGGGGACTCCTTCCCCAGAGTCCCCAGCCCTCCCACAGTGAGGAGAGACACCTGTCCCTGCTCCCACAGCCACTCACTCTCTTGTCTCCAGGGTGATGATGATGAGGATGGGCCTCCTGTTCATTCCTCCCACGCAGCTGCTGTTGCACATGAAGTTGTACAGGATGGTGGTGAACTCGGTCCCCACCTGCCCGGGAGGGGAGAGCAGGTGCTGAGCAGGGAGTGATGGGGGGAGACAGGCTGGGACCCTCAGGGAGGGATGGGGGGGGGCAGGCTGGGGGCCCTCGGGGGGGGGGGGGGGGGGCGGGGGGTGGGGGGAGACAGGCTGGGACCCTCGGGGAGTGATGGGGGGAGACAGGCTGGGACCCTCGGGGAGTGATGGGGGGAGGCAGTCTAGGATGTTCCCCTGGGAGCATTTGGGAAAGGTGGTGTGGGGGAAATCCCAGCTGGGAAAAGGGGTCTGCAGAAGAACTGTGGAGTCCCTGGGGTGCCCCTGGAGTGGATTGGAGGGGATTTCCCTTTGCACCCCACTTCTCAGGAGCAGGATGCTCAAGGATGCTTCACAGGGCTGGGAGCTGCAGATGCCCAAACACAGCAGCAGGGAGCAACCAGGGGGTGGCCTTAAACGTGCCAGGCCAAGCAGGACTCGTGCTCAGGACACGAGTGTGCCCCCTGCCAAGGAACCCTGTCACCAGAGGGTTCACTCCTGGCACTGGCAGAACTACTGCAGCCTGGAGAGAGGTAAGCACTGGTCCTGCCCCAGGTACCTGCGGGGGCTCGTAGGGCACCATCACGCTCTGCCTCCCTGTCACCGGGTCATCCACGTACTGCGAGAGGTTGTTTCCTTCCACCCGGATGAGGTGGCTGGCTGGGGCAGACTGCCCTGCAAGGCAAACCCCTGCGTTAGAGGACCTGGCTGTCCAGGATGCTGCCCTGCACCCCGGGCTGCAGGGAGGTGTGACCCCCCCGGGCACAGGGGGAGCAGCTCTCACCGTCGTTGAAGTCGCGGCCGAGCTCGTGGTTGGGGCAGCGCTTCACCACCTCGGTGACGTGCTCTGCCTTCTTGTAGACTGGCATGGCCCGGATGATGGTGCCCGGGGGTGGAGGGCTGGACACTTTGATCTGGATGGGGCATGTCTTTGCAATCTGACAGTAGAGCTTCTTCAGCAGGGGGGAGTACTGGAAAAGACAGAGGTGCCCGTGGGGCCTGAGGGGGCGGCGGGTGCTCCCCTGCTGCGCTGTGAGCTCCGTTCCTGCCCTGAGACAGGCCCTTCTGGTCCCTCACTCCTCTCATCCACCCACCCACTGCTTTCTCAGCACTCCAAGGAAAACGTGAGCACGGCAGTAAAGCAGCAAATTAAAATAATGACTTGTTATAAAACCAATGACTGCCTGTGGCGTCGCAGCCAACCACGGAGACTGCGCCAGCCTGGAGCTGCTCCCTGTCCTGGCTGAAGGTCACTGTGGGGACAGGTAGAGCTGCCTCTGGTTGCTGTCCCTGCCACACACTGGGAATGTGCAACAGCACTGGGACAGTCGTGATCCATCACGGAGCTGCCACGGAGCCTGGACATCACTTGTCAGTAGCAAATGGTTCATGACCACTCAAGTATTCCTTGTGTGGGCACAACGGGATTTGCTCAGACACGAGTGAGAGGCAAACCCCTCTGGTGAGGAGCAGAGGGGGAAGCTCCTGGTGGCTCTGAAAATGGGAAGGGAATGGCAGTGTGCCTGCTCACAGCCCAGGGAACCAGCCCTGGCTGAGGGTCCAGGCTCAGAGCAGCGCCCGGCGCAGGGAGGCAGGAGGAGGCTGGAGCTGCCAGCAGAGGGTGGGGAAGGCAGAGCCTGTCCTTCACCTTCCCGTAAACGCCTGTCTGGGCTCCCAGGTGTGGGGATGTGCAATTGCCTTCCACCTCACCAGTGCCATGCTGCTTTCCATCTCCCAAGGAATGTGTTTGCTACACAAGAGCCCACCCCTGCGCTCAGAGAGGAGCCGGTCCCTGCATGGCAGGGCATGTTCCTGCTCCAAGTATTTTATCTCATCCCCACAACACAATGCCTAGTGCCAAAAAAATACCACCGTGCAGAGTGTTTGTGGGGATGTTAAAGCTTGTCCTGGGCCATCCAGTACAGGTGTGCAGAGCCCAGTGGGGCTCCCTCCACCACTGCCCTGCCCCTCGGAGCTCTGAGTCAGGGCTGCCCAGGGCAGGGTCAGAGGGGCTTTGCAGAAGGCCATGGAGGGGCTGGCAGGGAGGGCTCAGCCCTCTGCTTCCCACCACTGTGAGCCCAGTCCAGTGCACCCCTGCATCTGGAGGGTTTGTAAGAGGGATCTGTGCTTCCCAACCCCACTGCCCCTGCTGCAGGAGTGGACTCAGCTGGGGCTGGATGGGCTCCACCACCCCAGGAACTGCTAAAGAGGCAAATGAGAGAAACCATTTCCAGGTGGCATTTCTAGGGAAGTTCAGGGAAGATATAAAGGGAGGAGGCTCCTGCCCAGGCAAACTGCAGCAGCTCTTGTGGTGTGAGGATGTGTTGGACTGTGAGGATGTTGGTTGGCTGGCAGCAGGTATGAGCTCCTGGGGGCAAAGCCTGCTCTGTGTTGGGGAGTGCAGGAGGGTGCTGGGGTCATTAGAGGGCCTGACTGGGAGGGGGAACATAGGGCTGAATTAGGCAGCAAGAGTTAATCCTCAGTACTTGAGGTGTGTGACTTTACCCAGAGAGAGAGAGAGAGAAGAGGCTTAGAAACATCACCTTCCACTGAGACCCTCAGATTTTCCACTGGTAGCTGGTGATGCTGAGTAGACCTTGACTCTATGGCCAAGTTAGCTTCCCAGTGTGATTGTGCACATCCAGCAGGGATTGTGCTGGAGCTGGGAGCACAGGCTCCTCTTGGAACCAGTTGCTCCCTGCTGCCCAGCTGGAGGAGGAAGCTCTTGTGTGGCTGTGGCCCATGTAACCTGCTCACCTGCAGTGCAGGGGGGGGTTTAACACCCTTGTTTTGAGGAGGCAACACAGCAAAACAAGGGTTATTTGGAGGGGTGCTCTTCCTTGCCAGGTGTTAAAATCCTGACAACTCCTGTCAAGGGATCCTTTCATGTAGACATTCCCGGGCAGTCCTCAACATGCCTGGGAAATATAACTGCTCTGGAAGAGTAGAGGTGCATTATGGCAAGTTCTTTGGTAACAAATTCTCTCATTATACCATGTTATGACATGGATAAATCTCTGTTAAATAGCAGAGCGATTGCCCTGCAGGGAGAGAAGCTGCTGCTCAACACAGACATGTCTCCACTGATAACCTTATCATGTCCTAACAGCTCCAGCATTGCCTTCAAAGGTCCTTCCACAATAACAAACTATTAAGGATCTCTGTGCTCGTAACTCTGGGCATGAAATGTCAGGGCTGTGCCCTGTGCAGCCGCTCTCCCTGCAGACACCCTGGCTGTGGCCACCAGGTGAGTGGTGTTCTCAGGAGCCCAGGAGGATCTGCAGCCCCAGCTGTGTTTTCAGCCAAGAAGATCCCTTGGTAATGTCCACAGGGGATGCAAAATGCTCTTCTAGCTCTGATACCAAGAGGCCTCTGCTCCTGGGTGGTTATCTGTGTTCGCTAATGACCTGCCACCTGTGCATCTCTGCAGGGCTGTGCTCCTGGTCTGGTTCACAGGAGCTGCAGGTGAGGGACACCCCCCCTGGGCACAGAGCATCATGTTGCCCACAAGTGTGGGCAAGGGGAGCCCTGGAGATCAGAATGCTGCTGTCTGATCACTCAGACTGGTGCAGCACCTTTCTGCTGGGTTCTCTTCTTTTGCCATGGCCATGTTTCTGCAGTCTGTGCCTCAGGCTGTTCACTCCTGTCCTTCCTGTTCTACAGCATCTGGACAGGCTGACCTCTTGAGAGCAGCCAGATGTGGCAGCTGGGTCACAGCCAAAGCTGATGTCACTCCTGATGCCACCAACTTGCTGCTGCTCTCAGGCATGGGAACATGTCAGGACACCGGGATGCTTTCCCAGCACTGGTGCATCTCAGACCTCAGCCCTGAAACTTCCTTCACACCTACAGAAGAACTTGGGTATGTTCTGCCCTTGGGCACCTCCTGCCTTTATTTTGGGTTCTTGCTCTGCCCTGTGGCCTGTCTGTCTGCTCCCCCAGGTACAGAGTGACCAAGGCCAGCTCAGTAACTCTGATCACAGAAACAAATGGAGTGTGTTTGTTACTGCTTGTGTGCAAAGCACAGCAGGTTCACGTGTTGGTGTGGCTTGTGGGTGCTGGTAGGGTATGAGCAGCAGCAAGAGCACCAAGCAGTCTGCCTGGTGCTCAGATAACCTTGCAGAACATCCCTTCCTCTTTTTTTTCTGCAATCATGCAGCTTTCAATGTCAGCCCTCATCTGCTGGGGTGAAAGTACAGGACCACTGTCCCTTCCCTGCTACCATCATCTGTCCTGCAGTGCAAGTCCAGAGCTCTAGGAATACTTGGAAAAGCCAAATCATTTGAGAAAACCCCCAGGCCCTGCTCTGGAGGAGGTCACTGCTCTGCTCAGACCCAAAGCTACTTCTCCTGCACAAGAAGCCAGAGTGGGGAGACGTGTTTTTCCCCGTGGATGCTGACAGCCCTGCATGAAAAATAACCTGAATCTTCTGCGCAGAAAGACCTGCCAGCAAAGTCCATCTCCCCAGCAGCCCTCCCTGGGCAGCAGAACCGCTAGGAGGATGTGTCCTGACAGATTCCGAGCTGATAAAATCTTATTTATCTTCAACTGTTGACACCGAAGCGTCTAGACTTGCCTGCTTTGGGAGGGCTGCAGCCAAGTCCTCCTCTCTCTCATGAAGGAAATGATTTGCTCAACAATTACTTTTTCCACAAATCCTCCCCCCTCCTCCCGACCAGCCTCCTCCTCCTCCTCTACATTCCAGTCTCCTCATTAGCTCTACTCAGGACGTGCCCAGGTCTGCAGTCAATGGATCCCAATAAAGCCACTAGCCTGGCAAGAGAAAGAGAAGAAAAGTGCTGCCTCCGGCTGCTAATTTCCTTGTGCTCCCCAGCAAGCAGCTGCGGAGCTGCATCCTGGGACAGGTTTGGGCAGATCACAGCAGAGAGGTGATAATAATGTGTCTGTCATCTTACCCAGACATGTAGCATCTTGCAAACCGCAAATACCGTTAACCGGCCCGGCCGAATCTGTTACGACAGATCCTGGAGGAGACACTGACTCCACAGCTCTCTCTCTCTTTTTTTTTTTCCTTTCTAATTTTTTTAATAACCACTTTTTAATCACCAGCCTATATAGCTTCTCACTGAGCTGGAAATTCCTGCCAGCACTACTTTGTTGCTCGTTTACTATGAGCTGGGTTTGAATGATGTCCAGTGATCACCGGTGCCCCGGGGGTGAGGGAGCAGCTGGGCTGGGCAGCAGAGATGCTGCCCCAGGGGTGGCTGAGAGGGACCCCCAACATCCCCATCCCTGTGTCTGCAGTCCCCCCACCCTGGTGGTGATGGCCAGGGCACTGCCAGCCCTGCCCAGGATGGGGGGGTCACCTGGACATCAGTGGCTACAGGGGACACTCTCCTGCAGCTCCCCTGGCCCCCCGGGCACTGGGCCCTGGGTGATGTCTGGAGGCCACAGCAGGCACAGTGCAGGGAGCTGTGTGTGCTCCAGCCTGCATCCTTCTATCTTTATTATCGTGCCGTTACTGCTAATTAAAATCCCTTGGTTCACCCCCAAAGGAGTCCTCTCCCTTCCTTCCCTGGTGTGCATATCCTTACAGTAACTGCCAGCCCATCTCTGAGTCACAGCCCTGGCACACTCGGGGCTGCTTTCACCTTTCCTACTGAGTCTGACTCCTGCTTCCTGGCTGGGCACTCAGCTCCCCTGACCAAGCCAGTGCTGGAGCTCCCTCTCCTCCAGAACAGAAGCTGGAAGTCCAGCAAGGCAGAGATTTCCTGCAGCATCCTCTAGGCTGGACATGGGGAGCAAGCTGGGAGAGGAGGGAAGGGGATTGGGAATCACTGCTGGAAATGAAATGCAAAAACCAGAGCAGCAAGACCTGGATGCAGGGGAGCCCATCACCCCTGGCAGGCTGTGCTGAGCAGGGGGAGCTGCCCCAGGGGCTGTGCTGCCTGTGGCCCTGCCTGGTAAGACCCTCTGTGCCCAGTGGTGTGCCAGCAGGTCTGAGTCCACT